TTAGAACAAAAGGAAAGTGTACGGAGTATTTTAGAGGTGTACTTAATCGATCGCAAATGTCGTTTTGTGGATATATCTGTTTATCTCGACATATTTTGCAGGAATTTTTAGCATGCGTTTTCTCGCTTCTGACGTCATTAAAAAGAGATGGATGATGCGACTCCCCAGGAGCCCTTAATCCTCCTTTTCATCTCTCGACACGATTAATGATTAAGACTCGTGCCAGCAGGTCAGAACTGGGAAGCCGCGCAACACTCGCCGTCTATTCAACAGACGTCCGAAGTGTATCTGAACGGCCGTAGCGGCGTCGACTCGCAGCACAGCTCCGACTCGGAGTTTTACTGACAGCAAGCCTCGTCGCGCTTAGATCGCCAAGCGTTTCCGAATCTGAACGTCGACTCCGCGCACGGCAACGTCGACGCCAGGTTGATTTGGACGAGCTGCTGGCTCTTCTCCGTTCTGGCGTAATGTGGCTGCTCTCCACAGCCGCCAGTTGAGCGAGATCGTGACGCACAGCCGATTCTCCCGCACTGTGACTAGCCTCACAAATAGTAATCGTGACAATACGAGTGTCTGTACTATCGAGAAGTCGATAGTAAGTTACACTAACCGACTGCCAAGAGGGATACGGATTTATGTATGTATGTGTGCGTATATGTGTGTACGAATGAATGCATTGTAGTCCATGGAAGAGAGATTGTGGCGCTTTCTTTTTTACGAGTTTCCCAACGCGTCCGTGTCCATTAAGAGAACTTACTTTTCAATAATTCTCAGAAAATGAATTTTCCTACTGAATACCGGATGCGTGCTGAGGTTTATCGGGTTTTAAGAGTGTTGCAGTTTTTCTTTCGCTGACTACACAGACTGGCATAATAACTTTAACACGTAGTGTAACGAAGTTACTAATATTTTCCAATCGTACACATTTGTTTCTGGCCATTAACGTAGAGCCATTTGGCTATCGCGCTTTGGCACATTTTGCTTCTTCGCATAATAAATCGTTAATATAAATACGATTGCAAAATTCTAGTAACCTGATCGCATTGCATGTTGAGACTATTATGCCGGTACAATGTGTGAATCTATTATACATCACTTAATAGATCGATAGATCTATGTGTGTGTGTGTGTGTGTGTGTGTGAGAGTATATTTAAGAAACAAGCGAGCCGTACGAGACATCCAAAGTCATCCAGCGTTTTGTTCGTGCGATTACGTGAAACGAGATATGCGAAAATACGTTATTTCGTTTCGAGATATGCGGCACGACGTTTGTGAGAGGAAATGAAAAAAAAAGAGAGTTAATATCGTCACAATATTTGCGTTGCGAAGCCAGAATCGAGACGTAGCGTGTACGTGTTAACGACAGAGCGGTTAGTGCGTCGGTCCACTTTACGTTCCAGCACGCCGTACGATAGAGTAGAGCGCGTTGAATCCTCAAAGACTACGCCAGTTTTCCTGACGCTATCGCGAAGTGTGTCCTTGATTAGAAAGAGTACAAAATTTCCGCCATTAGCGCTTACCTGTATTCCTCTTGGACATTATATCGCAGTATCCGATATTGAGATCCATTTATTTTTGACTCGGACGAAAGCGAGATATATCGGGGGATTGCGCGATATATATTTTTCTCTCCTCTTATACACATATATCTTATACATATATATATGTATATATATATATCTTACGTATATACACACATAAATATAGTCGAGACGTTTGTAGCTTCGCCGCGCGCGAAGCGATTCGCATGCAGCTTACATTCTCTCGTAGCCTATATCCTGGAAATTGACGTGATTTAACGCACACATTACCTCCTCTTCTCCGTAATTCTGGAACGTTTTATCTGCATAATTTCTCGTTTATTCTCTGAGTAACACGCATAATAGAGTTCTCTCACGATTGACTAGCTGCGAGCGAGTCGAGTGGACCACGGGGAATGAGATAGTCGCTAACGAACTTACTTAGTCGCACAATGTGAGCGAGCCGGGGCTCTGTCGAATGCAATAAGAAACCGAGGATCATTCGGTCGTCATCTTCGAGACGATAGAACGCCGGCGTGTAATTTATTAACTTCCGCGTATTGTAGTCTAACAACCACAAGGCGTAATATATACATATATATATATAATCAAAAGCGCGATTCGCCCCCGCGACAGGCAAATAGATATCAATGCAAATAGAACGCGACGACGCGTACAGAAGACGATGCTCAACACACGTTGCATTTACTAATCTAGGTTGATTCTAATTAGTTTAGACGGATGTCTTCCACATTCAGCAGCGGCATGTTCTCAGTTGGTAGTGTCAGATCGCGGCGATTAACGCCGAATATATCAATTGTACTCGCCTGAATTAGGGGAGACTCTTCTTCGTCGAGGTCGTGTAAGCGTTTCTCCGGACTCCGCAATGCCTTCTCGCGTCTTTCTAGGATGTTAATTTGAATCACGTGTTCCGCGAAGATCTCGCGATTTAGTTTGCCGGGTTTTCGGGAGAGGGAGAGGGAGAGG